TCAAATGGCTCGTGAAATGAAAGTTCCTGTGACTTCGATGCATCGAATCTTTCGAAAACGCTTAGGAATGAAAGCTTTCAAGAAAAACAAGTGTCACGGAATTACCGACGCTACAAAACTTGAGAGAGAACAGCGTTGTGCTCAACTTCTTGCTCGGTTTCCTGGAAAAGCTCACCGAAGGATTCTTTTCACGGATGAGAAAGTTTTTAGGGTCCAGCAAGTGTTGAACAACAAAACGATCGAATTTACGGCATTTCTAATCCACACAAATCGGTTTCGCATTCTCTTCATCCCACCTCGGTGATGGATCTCCCCTACTTGCGTGCCACGGTCGACGACTTCCCGAAGCGCCTTCAGCTCTGTATCAACGCGAAAGGAGGACATATCCAATAATTGTTGTTTTTCCATTACTTTACTATCTAATTTGTTAAAAATAAAAGTTTCATCACAAGTTTTCTACTAAAAAAAGTTTTTTCAAGCTAGTTATCAGGTATCAGTAATTGTGGAACACCCTGTATATTTCTTAGTGTCCTAAAAAAAAAATGCTTTAGCTTTTGGTTTTCGATATTTTTATAGACCTTTAGAGCACCTAAATATTGGATTTAGTGTCCTAAAAAATAAAAAGGTTGAAACAGGATTCGAACCAGGGGGAAGTAGCGTGCAGGTCGGGGATACTATCCACCAGGCCATCCGGTTTCTTTTGGCTGGCAAGTAATTCTCGCCCATATCGCGGTGGTTCACAGTTTTGAGCGAAACTTGTCAACGAAACCTTTTGCCAAAGAGATCTCTTCAGACCCTAGAACCAATTTCAGACTCATGGCCACGATCTACCTCTGGGACTATGAAAAGTCGCCTCGCACCTATATCTCTCTTTCAATAATTCTAAGCTCAGTTCTCATCTTTCTCACACTCTCCACCTGCAGTTGAATTGGTTTGTTAAAATCCAAGAAAAGTCAGAAACAAAAGCACAAAACATAATCTAACTGTAATCTGATGTAATCGTAAACTAATCGTAATCGTAACCACAAACTCTAACAAAGCTTAAAATACTTGCATCATTGTCTCTAATCAGATTGGAAACACTGAGAACATACCCCAGTTCTTGGAATTACGTCATCACAAAGAGCGATCTGTAAGGTTTTATTTAGCAATTGCCTATGATATGTTGAGAACAGTGATCGGTGTCGTGCTCCCATTATTGGGCGCTATTTTATTGTCGGGAATGGTGAGTGGAATGAGGGGAAATATGGGGAACCTCGAGTTTCGAGTACATTTTGAAAGAAAGGGAATGGAAATGTGGAAATTGGGGAAGGAACTCACGGTCCACGAGGTCTAAAGTCCATTTAGAGTTCGTCAATAACATAGGAAAACACAGTATAATTGTATTTTGTCCCGAAAGTCTCGTTTCTTTTTGTCACATAATGCATGTTACTGAAAGCGTCATTCTGAAATTGAAAAGAGCCAAAACAATAAACAAAAAGACCACTTGTTAGTACAACTTCTTGCATGGTGGCATCTCGAGTTGCAAAGTAGACTCTTCTTTCGACAAGCACATCGATTTGTCGTACATCCGCTCAGGCACAAGCAATGAGCGTGACCTAAAATTATAATATTTTAGCTGAGGTAAAAACATTTGAATTTGTAAGAAAAAGAAAAAAGAAAGATTATAAGTGCAAATAAATGTGCTTACCTTGGCTCCCAGAGATCGATGCTGCCCCAACAGCAGTTCCCAACGATGTCTCCCTGTCCGGAATTGAATTGGTCGAGAAGAATTCAGCTCCACATGGAGCCAATTGATTCCTAGTGAATGTTTGCAGAAGATGCCCATTTTGTGTCCCGATCGAGTAAAAACCATCAGTTACAGCTAGAATTTCTTTTTACATTTAGAAATAAATTTAAAAGTACCTGTGACGACTCCCATCAAATTTCGTGGTCCAATCTTGGGTCGATCGACACAAGGAATTGGCATTAAAACATTTTGTCCAACATCAATTGGTGCAAAACTAAAAGTAATCATAATAAAAACATTGAAAACGCAAAAGTACCTTTGTTAACTGGCGTGAAGCGTCTTTCGTGCCTGATCCTCCTGAGCAGAATGGGCTCCATGTCTTTCCGTCATAATCGAATCGTGTAGACAATTGATTTCCGCTTGCTCCTCATCTTTTTGAGCACCTAAAGCCAAATAATGTTTAGTAAATATTTTAAAAAGCAAACCAAGCATTGGACCAACAATCCCAAGTTGAAAGGCCTCATTATTCCTCTGATTTGCGAATTCAGGAAATTTCTAAACAATAACGTTATTTTTATGTATTTAAAACGTAATTTATACCTCAACACCACTCTCAATTGAATCCATGAAGCTTACAGGTCGTAGATCGGCGTAACGAGTAGAATTATCTTCCTAAAGTTACAAATAAAGAAAAAAATCAAAATTTAAATTAACCTGAAGCGTTTTCTCCTCCTGCTCGTAGGCACTTTTTTTGCTGGATTTCGTCGTCGTCTGACAAAACCTAAACCACACAGTTTACTTCAAGTTTACTTCCAGACCTACAAATATTTCAAATCTTACTTCTTCCTTAGTAATCGCTGTAGCATTTTCTGAGTCTCGTCCAAACATTGCAACATATGGGCTACGTCCAATACCGGAATGATTTTTTTTATTTAATTTTTTTTTATTTTAATTTTTTTTTTTTTTTTTTTTTTTTTTTTAAAAAATAACAACCCCAAATCTATCTTTTTCTTTTTTTTTCTTTTTTTTTTTACCCAAAATACACACAAAAAACCAATTTTTTTTTTTTATCCCCCCCCCCCCAACCCCCCCACTTTCTTTTTTCCCCCCCCCCCCTTTTTTTTTTTTTCTGTACCGTCTCCTCCCCCTATATTTATCCCACCCCAAAAAACTAAACTACTTTTTTTAAACCCCCCCTTTTTTTTTTTAAAAAAAAAAAAAAAAAAAATTTATTTTTTTTTTTTCCCCCCCCCCCCCCCTTCTTTTATCATCAAAAAAAATAAAAAAATTTTTTTAAAAAATTTTGTTTTATTTTGCTTACCTGTCTGAAGAATTTGTGGAGCGCCAAAGGTTCCAAAAATCGATACGATGTTTTCGACTACTTCTTTTGCCATTTTTGTCTTCAGAGCCCTCAACGAGACGAATTTTGCGAGGTGATCCTAAAATAAGAAGTATTAACATAAAGACTTGAACAAGACTCAACTTGAAAAACCAAAAAAATAATCTACCTGGTAAACGAAAATAAACTTGTAATCGCCATCTGGAGCGCTTTGCATGTCGATCAAATTAACTTGACATCGCTGGTTTTGGTGGTTAGAAATGATCGGCTTCACAACTATTCCTTTCTTCGGAAGCTTCTTCTTCAATTGACATCCCTCGCATTGATCCACGAAAATCTTCAGTACTTTTTTCGATATCCCATAATAATTTTTTTTTTTTTTTTTTTTTTTTTTTTTTTTTTTTTTTTTTTTTTTTTTTTTTTTTTTTTTTTTTTTTTTTTTTTTTTTTTTTTTTTTTTTTTTTTTTTTTTTTTTTTTTTTTTCTTTTATAAATAATTATTTTTTTTTTTTATTATAAAAATAAAAAAATAAAAAAATAAATTAAATTTTTTTATTTTTTTTTATTTTTTATTTTTTTTTTTTTTTTTTTTAATAATCTCAACAAAACCTCAAAAAAAAAAAAAAAAAAAAAAAATTTTTTATTTTAATATTTTTAAAAAAAAAAAAAAAATAAAAAAAAAAAAAAAAAAAAAAAAAAAAAAAAAAAAAAAAAAAAATTAATTATTTTATTTTAAATTATAAAAAAAAAAAAAAAAAAAAAAAAAAAAAAATTTTTATAAAAAAAAATAAATTTTTTTAATAAATATTTTATTTTTTTATAAAAAATATTTTTTTTAAAAAAATTTAAAAAAAAAAAAAAAATTTTTAAAAATTTTTTTAAAAAAAAAAAAAAAATTTTTTTTAAATTTTGGGGGGGGGGAACTATCATAGTTGAAAAATTATAAAAAATTTGATGAATCAAGCGGGATCAATTGGCATTTAGCGGATTTTGGTCGCATTCGGACGTCCGGATCAGATCCGGACGCCTGTTCGGATTCGGACCTAACATCGTCACGAACAATTAGAAGGATGATCAACAAGAGCAGGTTAATGATCGCCTCGATCTTTAACAAAAAAAAATGTCGATTTTCGCAAATTGACTAGGAAAGAGCTTTAAGGGTTGGTTGTATTGCGCGCGCTAAAACCCATAAGTGCCAAGTTATTGCCATTATCAAATTCTTTCCACTTCTGTATTTTGTACTGTGCTGTAAAATTGAGTAAAATCAGGAAGTTATTTGGTAAGAGCGGTTTGAAAAGGCAGATGTTTTTGAAGAATTTTGTGCTTTTTTACTACCCGGCTTCACACTCTCAAAGAAATCGAGTCATAAGACATTTGTAAACCCATTTAATCTTCATTTGCAGAAAAATAATTGACCTTTCTAATGAAACAAATCGTAGTTCAATTGGTGCATTTATTGGTCTTAAACGAAGAACGAAAAGGAACGAAAACACTTATTTACCAACCTACAGTACTGGACAATGAAATATCATATTTGAAAAATGGTGACTTCTTTAACTCTTCTTGAGTTTAAACTATTAGTGTTATACATTTTCTGAAAGCTCTTTTCAAGGACTACACGATGGTAATATTAATATTTAGATATACCGTATTTTGATGCATTTCGCGCGAAAGTGCGTCGTTTCAAATATGATATTTCATTGTCCAGTACTGTATATGTAAAACATCGAACTATTGCCATAATTTTATAGCTGAAATCCATATCCGGGTGTTTCTAACAGAACTGTTAGATAAATCTGATTTGATGTAAAGAGATAAAGAACAAGATCAGATCAATCTCAATCATATCAATCAACAGAACCAATCCATTTGTATCGGAAAGGTGAAAGCACAATTTATTTACAGCAGCATGAAACCAGCGAGACAAAGATCAAAGATGGTTCCTCACTCCGCTCACGGCTTTTGCTTTCATTCGCCAAACTCCCTGGAAAAGCTGGCGTTTGAATATTTGATCAAAAATGACTCTTTTGGCCATTTATTCTCCGATCTTACCTCCAGATCAGGAATCGCTTCTTTCGCATCAGCATCATCGATTCCAAATTTCTTCAACACTCTTTGTGCCGTGTCCACAATCTCGTTTGCTGTGTTGCTCTAGAAATACACATTTAAGCCGGTTTAAGCCAAGATTTGTGGCATTTTTCTGTTTTCTATCATTAAACGAATTCCCAACCTGTCCTTGAGTGATTGGCTGATAGCGACAAATATCATCATTGGCGAAATGGCAGGAGATCGCTTTTCGGAAACCTGTAAGTGGGTAAGTTTAAGATGAAAGTCATCTATTCACCTGTGGTTCTATTTGTTCCAGATCCGTGAATTAGAATCGGATGAAAGAATACAGTGTCGCCAGCCTGCATTTCCAAATGAAGTCTTGGCATATTTGGATCAAAGTCCTGGATTCCGTGATAGAGTGGATTGACTCCTCCCTGGAAAGAGTCATTTGGAAACCTTTTGAATAGCCTTTGTACAATTATCTAATATTTATCTGATTTTCAATCAATCTTACCTCCCATTTCGGGTATTCATGTGGATGAACGGGTCCTTTGTGAGTGCCAGGCACAACGACGAGGCATCCATTTGCTCGGTTCACCTGAAATTAGTTGTAGATTTGATACAGTGCTTGTAATTTCCAGTTACTAACAGTTTCCATAGCAGTCCATGCACAAACAATGGCATCAGATGGGCCAAATGGGAAGTATTGTTGGTCTTGATGCAGTGGGTGGCGAGAAAGTTGAGAACCTTTAAAAAAAGATTAACAATTTTGCCAGAGATGAAGCCATTTCTACTTAGGTGACTATATCGAAAGAACTTTTGGCCAAACGGTGTGCCAGATATTTAGCGTTTGTTAGAGTAGAGATTTTGTCCTTAACATACCAGTATCCGGTGGTTTATTGATCAACATTGTGTGCATGGCCAATAAATTCGCGTTTCTCGTTCCAATAAGATCTCGAACAATGGAAACGATTTCTGGATGTTGACAAAAGCTGAAGAGGACTGGATCATCGCCGAAATCTTGAAGTTTCATGATCGCTTTCTCTCCGGGAACGTATCTAAAAGATTATTTTCAAAAATTTTCTTAATAATTGGTCAAAAAATTCTTAATAATTGGCTAAATATTCACTCGCTTCTATTGATAGCGAAATCTCGCATGACGGTCATTGTAGCCGGGACATCTTTCATTTGACAGATCTCCTAAAAAAAGACAAAGTTCAATAAACATTGTAGTTCTTAATAGAAGAAAATTCCACTTTTGAAGATTTACCTTGAATCGATTCGTGAATATATCGATGTCATGTTGGGAGAGGACTTTCTTGATGACAAGATAGCCTTCTCTTTCATAGAACTGAAATTTCATAGAATTTACAAGAAAATAAAGTTTTTTTGAATATTCATAAACTTAGATAATAAAGTTTATAAGCTGTACAAAGTTATCAATGATTTTTCGAAATGAACCCTTTTCTGTTGAGCTGTAATCACCAATCCATCACTCTTTAAATCGTGAAAACCAATCTGGGCGCTCATTTTTCAAAAATAAATACGAGAAATGATAGAAAAATTGGCAAAAATTTCGAAAAACTTTGTCTTATAGGGAACATTTATCAGGTCAAACTAGACAACGAAAAGATGGGGGAAAATGGAATGAATGATAGATGAGAGGGGGAGTTCAAGTGATAACGTTGGACTAAAGATGGAATTCTTATGGACAATGGGTAAGTGGAGAGGGGAAAAGAACAGAAACAGGAATGTTGTCGACAAAAAACAAGATCCTTTTTTTGGTGTTATGAGCGGATCATCAGCAAAATCAGCAAAATAATAAAATTGGGATAAAAATGTGAAAAATAAGAGATAATCAAAAACTAAAGTGTTTCTAAAGTAAAGCTTTGGTTTTTTCGAGTCAAAGTAGTCAAAAGATGAGTTGTCCTAAAGAATTGCACATCTCATTAATCATTTTTGAAAAAAGGTATCCACTTTTTGTGATGTCTGCAAATGCTAAGTGATCTAGGAATTTCGGGAAACAGTTTTATAGAAAATATTCATCACTAATATGCTCTTAGATTGTAAAAGCTAGTCAATAACGTGCCAAAGTGTATACGTTTAAGCAGGCATTTCGGTACTATGGTATTACTGTCACTTGCTGAAGTTATCTAACTACAGTAAAGTATGATCTTGCTACTGTATCACCTTGTTGAGCTTATAATCAGAAGAATTCAAGATGAATATCTCTTGATATTCGTCTTGAATATTCGAATATCAGATGATATTCAAGACCTAAAAGATAACTCTGGGCTAAGCCAGTAGTTTAGAGATCAGGCTAAGAAAATGCACATTCATTCAATCTACGAGAATATTCAACTTTTATTTCTCTTTGGCCTCTCCACATAAAAATTTCATTCAAAAAGCGCAGTCTGAACCACAAAAAGACAAAAAAAAACCATGAAAACACACAAAAATCTGGATATACTTCATTAAGATGCTCATACTGAGTTTGGACTATGTCACTTATAGAATTGATTATTCAAAAATACTATACTAAAATGTTTTTGTGATAAATGGGGAGAAACAATCTGTAGAATGATGGGACAGTATAAATGGATGAGAAAGTGAAAGGATACCAATTCAAAACTTGATTTGAAGCGGCTAAAGGCAAGTCTATTCTGTTATTATTACAGCTACTACTAAAGTTGTTCAAGTTTACGGTAAACGGTGCTTTTGGTCAAGGAAAAGATCTTAGATCAGGTCTTAAGTGCCCAGTAGTAAATATTACCCCAAAATGAACATCCAGAGACTGGATCTTGTGCTGTACTTAAGTACCATTGTATTATTGCCATGTCTGTCTTCCATTCCAGATAATTTTCTACCTAACCCTTCTTCAATTATTGTTAGTATCAACTCCACTATGGGCTATGCATTCTCCAGTTTCCCCTCCAAGTGGGGGAACGGATGGAATAACAGGAAGTGGTGGGAGTACAGGAAATTGTCATTGCTCACTCACTCCCAACCTTGGGGCTCTCGTTTGTGTACTTGATTAGAGTCAGTTTTTTCACAAACACAAAAAAGTATCTCGCTTCAGTCTCACACATGAAGATCCTTACCAAGACAACAAAGATAATAAACGGGACTTCAGTGAGTGAATACACTCTCCATCCAACATATCGACATCATCAAGGTAATCTTATCAATAGCAAAGAATCATTCCTTTTCAGAGAGTTGCAAGTATTCCAACGGTTCTCATCCTTCCTGAAGGTCCTTGTGGATTGGAATTGAATGTTGAACTTGAATATCTTCTTTCTGATAACTAATAAAATCTTTCCAAGGGCTTGTCACCGGTGAAATCAATCTCTACACGACTCTTTGTCTCCAAGTTCTCAACGTGCTCTCACCACTTTGGAGTATTGTAAGTGTTGATAACTCTCTCTCTTTATACAACAGTCATCTTCATTCCCAGGTCGCAATTTGTCTTGTAGATCAAAATGGTTTGTTGGACACTCTCGAGCAATTGATTTGTCTTCCCGTTCATGATCTTCTCGATTCTCTTCTTGGCATTTTGACATAAATTTTACCATTAGCTTAAAAGCCAAGTAAGACTGAATGTAAGAAAGATCTTGAATCTTCGGAATCTACAGGATAATAACTTTTTGAGTGTTCCCCACTTCTCGGCGGAGGCATTCTCCCAACTCTTCCCGGTATCGGTGGAGGCGGTAGATTTTTACTTGTTTTTTTTCAAAAACAAAGAATTCAGGTCACTGAGTCTTCCAATCCAATTCAGTTCACCCAAAGAGCCAAAATTGCTGTAAATAACAGAATTTCGAATAAATCCTTTCATGCTGATGATTTGAATGTCCTTTAAAGAACCAAAGTATTGTCAACAACATACTGGGTTGGGTTTAGATTTCAAAACAATACTGCACTTCTTAACGTAGCTGACTATAGCAGTCTTCCTGTGGTACTACGGTATTGGATTTAGACTCAAAGCAATATTGTCTCTTACTGTAGCTATCAAACTACCGTAATCTTACTACAGTGCTATCTCTGGCTTTGCTAAAAGATACTTCATGATACTTCAGCTTCAGCTTCATGATACTTCATGATACTTCATGCTTCAGCATAAAAGATACTTCAACAAACGCCTAGTCACCGCTTTTCAGATCCAATATTTTTTTCAAAATAGAATCCAAAAATTCTAGAGGATTTGAGGTGCCAAATCCCATTTCGAATTCCCAACTATTCTTTTTTTTTGTCTCGATTTGGGGTAATTTGATGGTCATAGAATGGTTGCGAAGAGAAATAGTTCGGTTCAGTGCACCGGTTAACAACCAACCATTCCCTCCTTTCCCCACTCTTCCATTACTCATTCAGATTCCCAAAAAAGGACACCCAATATTCACCAATTTCAACAGTTATGATTTGTTTTCAAAACAATTTTTTTCTGAGATTTAGTTGTTGATTTTACCTATGCATTGTCCTTCACTGAATTATCTTTACTACAAATTTTTCGTAAATATTTGAATTCATTCTCATTATTGCTCTTTTGCACAAAAAAAATGGCTTCAAAAGCTCTCAAATAGTCAAATAGCTTGTTCTAGATTGAGTAATATTTAGAATTTGAACTCCAGGGCGTTTACTTTCCCATTGACAACGATGAAAACCGGTACGATATTCTTGATGATTCTTATCGTCTATGCATCAGCAATTCCCATTCATTATAGTAGCAGCGAACAAGGTTTGTTTTGTTGTAGTAGGATCCTCATGACTGTTGTAGCGTGAATTGTTTGCGGAATAACAGTCAGCGTTTATCCAGAATAATGAACACGAATAAAAAATCGTAATTGATTCGAATAAAAATGCAGAACCAAATGGGAGGGAGGAAAAAATAAAATGGCCTAGACTACCTAGGCAGACAGACAAACAACCTGAAAGATGCATTTTAGAAAGCGGCAAATTTGTGGGAAGTATCTTCTCAAAATCAAAAGCTATCTTCCCAACAGTTTTATTCAAGAAAAACTAGTTCTTCGAAATCAAGTCTCAACTTTTAGAGTTGACTCGTTTCGAGCGTGAAATCAAGGGATCTGATGAATTGACAGAGACTCCAGAAACCGATGTTGATAGAAGAAAAAGAGAAGCTGATGAACATAAAGAACATGAAGGAGAAGGAATGGAGGGACCTCCACAAATTGATGTGAGTTTCATCAAATTGATCAATCAAATTGAGTTTAAAAGCTACGAAATGGTGAAATTTAGGTGAGAGACAAACGTCGAATCAAACAGCCAACTGGTCCAGCAACAACGACAGCTATCACAATTGCTGAACATCGTTTGTTTCATTTCATTTGAAGACTTTCAAAGCTTTAGATCAAACGTTAACTGAAGAGAAAAGAAGTGCCGAACATGAGAGACAAGGTTAGTACAAGTGAATTCACAAAAGCTCTCAACTTTCAGAAAATCACGAGATGAAAGGAGGACCGTCCGAGCAGGGTTTGGCTTTGAAGTGCTTTAGAATTTACTTTAAATTTCAGAAACGGAAGATCACCACGTAAAGAAAAGATCTGATTCATCAAATGAAGAAGAAGGTTGAAATGAAATAAATCTTAATGTGATTAAACTTTCAGAGATCACAAATCATTCAATTGGTGACTGTGAAGAGAGAATTGATGCTGAGACTGATTCACAAAACATTTCCGAACCGACAATTGAGGAGACACAGACACAAGAGGTTTGATTCGATGTAAAACAAGAGATCTCAAACTCTTTGCAGGACTCACTTCCTCCAGAAGAGTCATTGCTCGAGATCGAGCCGGGACGAGGCCTTGAAGCAGTAGGTACATCCATTTTTCACATCACATTTTGTGTTCCTTCAGTTGTTCACGATTAGAATCAAAGCCATTTCTAGAGAATCAAGAACAAAGTAGTGCA